GAAGGAAGGAAGGAAGGAAGGAAGGAAGGAAGGAAGGAAGGAAGGAAAGACTAGCAATAGCACTTAGGGCTTATATACCGCTTCATAGTCCTTTCCAGCCCTCTCTAAGCAGTTTACAGGGTCAGCCTCTTGCCCCACACAATCTGGGTCCTCATTTTACCCACCTGGGAAGGAGGGAAGGCTGAGTCCACCTCGAGCCGGTCAGCATCGAACTGCTGGCAGTGGGCAGAGTCAGCCTGCCATCCTGCACCCGAAACCCCTGGCACCACAGCAGGGGCTCTTGCCAGCCTCCCTTCGCGCAGACCCAACTGCCCTTCCGCTCAACCTCAGTCGTTTACCTGCAATCCCCCAGCAGCGAGATCAGCCGGTAGTAGGGCGTGTTGGAAGATGCCACGTAGGCCAGGATCCCAAAGAGTCTTTCGGCCATTATCACGTCGTTCTGGGTAACCTGAAGAGGAGGGAGAGAGAGAGAGAAGTCAGAGAGGGACCAAACACTGGGAGGCCCAACAGCTCTTGTGTGAGGGATAGTACAGCCGAGGCAACGAATCAGGGGAGTTAACAATTCGTGTGTGGAAGAGCTTGCCCCGTGAAGTTGTGGCTCCTCCACTCCTGGAGGCTTTTAAGGAGAAACTAGGCCGCCATTTGTCTGGAATGGGATAGGGTCTCCTGCTAGAGCAGGGGGCTGGGCTAGAAGACCTCCAAGCCCCCCCCCACACACACACAACTCTGCTATTCTGTTATATTCTGAGGCACGATATCCGTACACATTCAAGGAGATGTAGGCAGCGTGGATCCTCTTAGACTTCCAAACTTGCAAAGTGCATTGCATTCCCAGTGGTTCACAAGTAATCAATTTCACACATTGTGTGTGTGTGTGTGTGTGAGAGAGAGAGGGGGGGGGAGGGAGGGAAACACAGAGAGGGGGAGAGAGAAAGGAGGGAGAGAAAATAAATATATACCCATACACACGGTCTCAGGGGTACAAGAACAATCCAACCAGTTCTCAAAAAGCAATTTATGTGAAACTAAGAAGGAAAAAAACAAACGTCAAGAACGTTTTAGCATTTAGCATTGGAAATATAGTGGCACAGTTGTTTTATATACGATTCCGGAGGACTTAAATGGAACAGTTCCCTTTTGGTGAAAACAAATAAGAGTTCCTTCTCTTCTCCTTCTGGGAGGTTCGAGGGGAGTTGAGGATTTTGGCTTCCTTCAACCCTCTGCTCCACGATGGACCAACGCCAAGAAAAAACTGAAAAGTAAAGCTCTGAGAATTGCAAAACAGACTGCAATTCTAAACACAGTATATATTTCATACGTTTCGATGATAGATCGGATGGAAACCCAAGTTTGCCATCGATCGCAAACCTTGTTAAGATTTGCTGCCCCCTTTTTTTAAAATAAAAAATAAATAAATACTCCAGTTACAAAAGACAGAACATCGGCGCTAAACAAACAAACAAATAAAAATGAAGCAAGCAAAGAGAGAAGGGGGTTTCCCCCCCACCCTCATTTCCTGACTGCATTTTCCTTTATTCCCTATTCCAATTTTCTCATGTCTTTTTTCCTGTTGGAATTTCTGCTCGGTTCACTCGACACATTTATTGGCTTATTTGGCAAACACGCACGGGGACGCACACACAAACACACACACACACACAGACGGACACGCACGCCTTACAAAGAATTTGCCCGTGTCAGCAATGCAAGCGGAGGGTGAAAACTCGTAAGAGCCGGGTCGTTATCCGAACCTCGGAAAGAGGCGGTGAACTTCCTCAGAAATGCTCCTTAAGTTGCTGTACGCCGTGGATACGTTTTTTCGTCACGGGGAATTTTTGTTGTATGGTTGGCAAAAAGTTTGAGGATCATCTAAAGCAACCAACCTAGGGCACTTTAAGACTTGTGGACTTCAACTCCCAGAATTCCCCAGCCAGCAAAGCACAAGCCTCAAAGTGCCCAAGGCTGGGAGACAGACCCCTGATGTAACCCATCCAATTTCTACAGTTAGTTAGTTAGTTTACTTTATTGTCATTGCACCTCGTACAACGAAATCAAACACCATCTTCAGTGCACATCATGACCATGAAAATAAACACAAACACACATCCTTCACACATTGAACCGGAAACCCGACACCACACCAACACTGCACTATACAGTAGAATCCAACAGAGCTCCTGCCCTGGGATAGAAGCTGTTTTTCAGCCAATTTGTCCTTGTTTTTATTATTCTGTACCGTCTGCCAGATGGTAATAGTTCAAAAAAAGGGGGTTCCCAGGATGAGATGGATCTTTGAGGATGTTTTGAACTTTTTTTTAAGGCAGCAGGAGCTATAAAGCTCTTCCAAAGAGGGGAGAGGGCAACCCACGATCCTCTGGGCAATGACATTAACCCTCTGGAGTGCTTTCCTATCTGTCACTGTGCAACTGGCAAACCATACAGAGGTGCAGTCAGTTAAGATAGTCTCTCTAGTGCAGCGGTAGAAGGTCACCAGCAGTTTTTCATTCAGTTGTTGTTTTCTGAGAAGTCTCAGGTAGTCTAATCTCTGCTGGGCCCTTTTGACCAGGGCTGCAATGTGGGCACTCCAGGTCAGGTCCTCTTCTAGGGTAACACCCAGAAACTTAAAACTGGCCACTTGCTCCCCTCGGTCTCCACGGATAAGCAAGGGCTGGAGGTCTGATCTGTTCCTTCTATAGTCCACTCTAAGCTCCTTGGTCTTATTGGTGTTGAGGACCAAGTTCTGGTCTCCACACCACGAAAGCAACCACTGGTCCCCCTCATCTCAATAGGCAGACTCATCCCATTGACAGGGAATATATTAGCGTCCAAGACTAAGCCATCGTATTGCTCTGGCCTACAGTGAATCACAGTTAGCCTTAGCCACGGTTTATTGTGGCAGACAACGTACATCTGAAATCTTCCTCTAGCCAGAAAGAAAGAAAGAAAGAAAGAAAGAAAGAAAGAAAGAAAGGAAGGAAGGAAGGAAGGAAGGAAGGAAGGAAGGAAGGAAGGAAGGAAGGAAGGAAAGAAAGAAAGAAAGAAAGAAAGAAAGAAAGAAAGAAAGAAAGAACACGGCCTTGAAAGGCAGATGGCTCAAGCGAGGGTTAACTTCCTTACCTCCGACCCGTTGATCTTTTGCAGGTTAAAATGGTTCAGCCTGAAGAGGACGTAGAATTTCCACAAGGTGAAGGCGACCACGGGGTTCCCCTCGGGCTCGACTGTCAGCTGCTCGAGCCGGCGCAGGTGAGCCAAGGCGTTGAACTGCTGCAGGGTGGCTAGGTTGGTCTCCTTGAACTTCAAGTGCTGAAAGAGGCAAGCGGAAGGAAGACGGGGAGGAACGTGAGGATGCGGCCCAGTTCGGCCACGAAACATCTGCAAGGGAGCAACCAGACTCAAGAGAGCACCAAGGACCCCACAGTCCTCCTCCATGCAAGACCCCTTCCCTTCTAGCTCTGATGAGGTTCCCTAGTTGGGTCATGAAATGTCTGCAAGAACATAACCAAGCTCAGGGAGCACCAAAGATACTACAGTTCTCCTCCTCCTCCTCTTCCTCCCTTCCTCCTCCTCCCCTCCTCCTCCTCCTCTTCCTCCTCCTCCTCTCACTCTCTTCTAGCTCTGATGAGGTTCCCTAGTTGGGTCATGAAACATCTGCAAGGGAGCAACCAAACTCAAGAGAGCACCAAGGACCCCACAGTCCCCCTCCATGCAAGACCCCTTCCCTTCTAGCTCTGATGAGGTTCCCTAGTAGGGTCATGAAATGTCTGCAAGAACATAGCCAAGCTCACAGAGCACCAAGGACCCCACAGTCCTCCTCCTCCTTGTCTCTCTTCCTCCTCTCCACAACCCTCCCTCCCTTCTAGCTCTGATGAGGTTCCCTAGTTGGGTCATGAAACGCCTGAACCAAGTTCACAGCACCAAGGACCCCACAATCCTCCTCCTCTCCACACACCCTTTTAGCGCCGATGATGTTATCTAGCTGGGTCATGAAAGGTTAGGGTTATATACCCGAGCTCAGTGAGCACCAGGGACCCCAAAGTCCTCCCCTTCCTCCTCCTCCTCCTCCCCTCTGCAACCGCCCCCCTCCCTTCTACTGCAGTTGATATGACCTAGTTGGGTCATGAAACACCTGGAAGGAAACAACCCAGCTTCGAGAGCACCAAGGAGTGACTCAGGGCCATTCCCCACATTTCTTTATCACCCCTGGAGCATCCTTGTGATCGTGTGATTTACACATTCCGATCCTTGACAATGGGCTCATATTTATGACTGTTGCGGTCTCCCAAGATGGCGGGATGCCCCTTTCGCCACCTCCCATCAAGCAAAGTCAATTGGGGGGAGGGGGAGCCAGATTCATTTAATGACCATGTCACTGGCTTGACATCTGCAGTGCCTCTCTTAACAATGGTGGCAAGGAAAACGGGGCGGAACTCACTTAAACACAACTTCGCACTTCGCCACAAAAATTTGGGGCTCCGTTGTGGTCGTAAGTCAAGAACTACCTGTATATGATTTATTTTATTTTTATTTTTTTTGGGGGGGGGAAGTGTACTCGAGTCCCCTGGGAAGGATCTCCTTGGTGGTTCTACTGGGATCGCAGCTTTCTTACGCTCCTCCCAGGCGAGGCTTTCTAAGACCTGCCTCGACTGTCCAAAGACGAGAGGCTGCCACTTGCCAGGAAATTGGGGAACTTGATCTTGAGTTTCGAGAGCACCGGGATGATTTCATCGAAGTCGATGAAAATGAAAGAGATGGTGACGATGTTCCCCGCCGTCTGGACGCTCCAATTCCGATCCAGGGACTCCAGAGCTCCGGAACCGTACAGGCAGAGCACGTCTCCGTCTATTTCAACCAGGTGGGACTCCAGACCTGGCACCACTTTGCTTAAAATCGTCTCCAGGGACCTGGAGAGAGAGAGAGAGAGAGAAAGAGAAAAAGAGAGGGGAGAAAGATAGACACAGAGAGAGAGACAGAGAGAAACAGAGAAAGAGAGAAAAAGAGAGAGAGAGAGAGAGGGAGAGAGAGGAAAAAGATAGAGACAGAGAGAGAAAAAGAGAGAGACACGGGAGAAATAGACACAGAGAAAGAGAGAGAGAGAGACAGAGAAGAAAGACAGACGGAGACACAGAGAGACAAAGAGAGAGAAAGAGAGGAAGGGAGGGAGAGAGAGAGAAAGGAGAACAGAGGGAGAGGGAGAGGGAAAGAGAGAGAGAGGGAGAAAGAAAAAAAGAAAGAAAGAAAGAAAGAAAGAAAGAAAGAAAGAAAGAAAGAAA